TGTTGCCTATGCTGGTCTTGAATTCCTGGGCTCAAGGAATTCCTATGCCTCATTCTCACAATGTGCTGGGATTACAGGCACAAGCACAATCACACCCGGCCTGGTCCTACATTTTGAATCTTTGTTAAGGAGTTATTGTTCCCAGCGTTCCCATCAGGGCCCACCTAGAGGGGCATCTCAGTAACATCCCCCCTATGATTTGTAAGCTCCCTGGCCCCATGCCCCCGGCATCCTCAGCCCACATTCTGGGTTCAGCCTCCACCTTTATTCCCATCTTGCCTTCCTACACATCATCGTGAAGAATCTTTCAGTCCTTCTACAGTATCTCACTGCTGACGACAAAAAAATCTTATGAAGTCTTGGGGGGTAGATTATTGTCTTCATTTCCTTCTTCTTTTTTTTTTTTTTTTGAGTTGGAGTTTCACTCTGTCATCCAGACTGGAGTGCAGTGGCCGCTCCCGGCCACCGCAGCCTCGACCTGCTGGGCTCCAGCGATTCTTCCACCTCAGCCTTCCAAGTAGCTGGAACTACAGGCGCGCGCTACCACGCCCAGTTAATTTTTGATTTACTGTAGAGATGAGGTCTCGCCAAGTTGCCCAGGCTGGTCTCGAACCCACAGGCTCAGGCAATCCACTCACCTCAACCTCCCAAAGCACGGGATTACAGGCTGAGCCACCAAGCCTGGCTTGTCTTCATTTCTACAGATGCAGAGACTGAGGTGCCAGGTGAGGGTGGAAATACGGGGGCCCCAGGCTGGGGTCTTCATGCCATCTCTTTCATTCTCAGCATCTCTCCCTCCACGGAGTGAACCCAGAGCACCATCCTCCCCAGCTGTCTCTTCCACACGCTCGTTTCCTGAGACTCTGTCAGCAGGTGTCAATTTCCAAGTTTCCAAATGTAGATACTCATAATATTTTTTTCCTACACTTCTGCATGTTCTCATGGCACAGCACCTTGAGAACCTTCATACCTGCCTGGGTAAACCAGTCTCCCTAACTAGAGTATGCTGTCAGAGCTGGAGGATTGGGATGCTGAAATCACAGCCTGGGTAACACAGCAAGACCTCATCTCTACAAACAACAACAACAACCAAAAAAATCAAAAACCTAGTCAAGCATAGTTCCCAGCTACTTGAGAGGCTGAGGCAGAAGGATCGCCTGAGCCCAGGAGGTCAAGGCTGTGGTGAGCTGAGATCATGCCAATGCACTCCAGCCTGGACAACAGAGTGAGACCCTGACTCAAAAAAAAAAAAAAAATCCAGCCTGGGCAACATAGCAAGACCTTGTCTCTAAAAATAAAAAAAATCAAAAATTGGTCAGGCACAGTGGTGTGCTTCTGTATTCCCAGCTACTCCGCAAGGATCGCCTGAGCCCAGGAGGTTGAGGCTGAGGCTGAATGCGGTGAGCTGTGATCATGCCACTGCACTCTAACCTGGGTGACAGAGTGAGTGCGCAACTCAAAAAATAAATTAAATTAAATTAGATTTAAAATACATCCCATATCCTATTTTATTTGTCATGGCACAAGAAAAGGTGGACGGATTGAAATTCTGTTGGTTTCCATCTGGAATGCAAATGACAGGCACCAGCCTCCCCATCTCACAATGAGTGCCTTGGAGAAATGGTGGCGTGCCAGGGGTGGGGGAAGAGCTGTTTTGAAAGAACCCCAACAAATATGGCAGAAACTGCAACCACCCAAGTGTTTGCAGCATCTAAAGTGCCTGAGAAATCGTGGGGTAAAAACACAGAGCCTGCACTTACAGGTAGCTGTGAGGCCCAGAAGTAGAGCTCTCTGGGTTGAACACTGTGATCCACAGGTGCACGTTATAGATGAGAGGTTTGGGTGTGGGACCGTGCCAAGTACACAACAAAACTCAATTGAAGGGAGCCAAGTTCACAATCACAGCCCGAACCTGAATACAGGAGGCAGCAGATTCCATAGGATTTAAGCATAAAAGACTCGCCGTATTTTTTCATGTGAGTTAATTTAAAAATTGTGTAGGAAAAAGTAGTATTTTATTTGCTTCCACTGAGTACGTTTTTAGGATAGCATCAACTCTTCAGAAACAAAATTCTTCCACATGGAATTTAGTTCTCCAAATGTTAGATCAGAGTCAGTCCTATCTTCCTCAAAGTAGAAACAGATTTGTTTTGTTTTAAGAATGTTTACAAAAACTTACATATTTAAAGTGCAAGTATAAAATGAATCAGCCAGAGATAACCAAGCCCTAAAACAATACTATCCTACCTTACATTACAGTTCTGCCTATTTTAATCTCCAGATTGACTTGTGACTGGCAGAATGGATTGGGGAGGGTGAGAAATGGACTAATATATTCTTGAGCCTTTGCAATATGATGGGCACCATTGAGAAACCTTACAGACATCTCTAACGCTCCAAGTAGTTCCATGAGGTAGGTATTATTATTCCTATTTTTTAGATGACACTGAAGTTTAGAGAAGCCAAGTAATTTGCCTAGGACCACACAGCTAGTGGATGGCAGAGACAAGATTCAAATCCTCATATTTTAGAATTTTTTTCTTGCCACATTTAAAACAGTCCTTGTCCATCACTAGGTATCACAGAGGAACTGATGAGAACCCTGGTACTAATTGAAACATTGTTAAAGTGAAGTGGTTGTGTCAGATCTTACTATTCATTAGATAATAATTTCTGGGGAGATACTTATGTATTGTATTTTATTATTATTATTATTTTTTTTTTTTTTTTGAGGTGGAGTCTCACTCTGTCGCCCAGACTGGAGTGCAATGGCCACTCCCGGCCCACCGCAGCCTCGACCTGCTGGGCTCTGGCGATCCTTCCGCCTCAGCCTTCTGAGTAGCCGGAATTACAGGCATGCACTACCATGCCCGGCTGATTTTTTTGATTTATTGTAGAGATCAGGTCTCGCCTGCCCAGGCGGGTCTCGAACCCATGGGCTCAGGCAATCCACTCACCTCAGCCTCCCAAAGGTGCGGGATTACAGGCTGAGCCACCAAGCCCGGCTGTATTGTATTTTTTTATGTGTTCAATTTAAAATTTGAAATGTATCATTAAATTTTGCAATACTTTTAAAATATTGTCTGCTTTAATATAAAAATACTTTCACATTTTCCTGTTTTTATTTTTATTTTTCATGGCATCATGTCTGGAATGGAACATGAAAAAGTAATTCTATTTCAGCAACTTCTCCGCACCACTTTTTTTTTTTTTTTTTGGTTATTACTAGTGGCTCCTATATACACAAACACGTGAGAACTCTCTAAAGTGAAGATTCAGTTTTGAAAAAGTGCTAATGACATCAAAGAAGTCACTGAGGGATACTTTCTAGAAGACAGTATTCATATATCAATACTTTAGGGAAAACTAGGAATCTGTCTAAAGAGGGGGGAAAATGGAAATAACCTCATCAGAACACTTAGAGAAATTTATCTGCCTTATCCTGAGATCATATTGCTATTTAACCTGTTTTTAAACAAACAAGAAGTTTTAAACATTTTCTATCCTTTAAGCAAATGTTCTTTGCCTGGCTAGATGACAGTGTTCAAGAAATGACTACCACATTAAAAAAAAACCCTTGGCAATGTTCCAGAAGAAATCTACCCTGCTTAATGGGTTCCAGCGAATACTCAATAGCTTTCTGGTGAACCTGCTGGCTCAGTGTCCACTTGAACAGGACTCGGAAAGAACAAAGGAAAACCTGATAGACACTTTCCTTTTTGTGAGTCTGGCATAGTAACTTTCAACTCATTTCAGCAAACTTCCCAAGCTTGGAAAAAATCAGCCTGGGCAGGGCAAACTTACAAATCCTGCCCTGGGCTCGAGTCGACAGTTTGTTTTGCTACCTTTGATTCTCTGAAATACAAAGATAATTATACTGTTTGTCTTTTCATCCAATAAAATATGCATTATCATTTGGTTCATATGGAGTGTATCAGTTTAGATGAATATATTATTTCAAAGGACAAGTTAAAGCTTTCAAAATGAGAACACTTTAGCACATACAGAACTCTTACTATAATATTAAAAAGAGGGAGATTAGAGGGACGGGCATCTTTAAAACATTCAAAAGTGTGTTCACAGTTGACTAAAGCTGTCAATTCTCTAGATATTGACGTAAGAAATTCACCAAGCACAAAAGACTTCAAAATGGCACCCATCTTCCTTCTATAAAGTGAAATAGATGCACATTTTTAATATCTTATGCCTCTTTGCAACTTTTTCTGAGGATGAGTATTTTCCACTTAAAAAATAAAATAGTTGGACATTTCACAGGTCTGTTAAACTGTAGCAGTACGTTGGTCCTAATTCTCTCCTTGGCCATGGGGAGTGAGGGAAGGCTGGGCAGGGGAGGGTTGGGCTGGGCTGGCACAGGGTGTTTGACCTTAAATGCCCAGAACTGAAGAAGGGAGGATGGTTGAGAAGGTAAAATGTCCCCCATTCCATGTTCCAGGACAACTGCATGGTTCTGAAACTCAACCCACTTTGCAGGAGAGAAGACCAGGCTGCCAGGCCTGAGAGAGAACTTACTGCCTGAGGGCAAGACAGAAGGTCCTGGAACTACAAGGCCTTTTTCTGGTTCTCTGGGGCCAGCAGCAGGGCTGTCCGGAGGCGTGAGCGGGCGGGCCACTGACTCGAGGTTTGTATCACAGACACACACCAACAAGAGTTGGGGGAAGGATTCGTCACACCTCTTTAATGGCTAAATATCAACATTTAAAATATACTGTGCTGGCTGTTACATTCTCTTGGCATGTCTTCCTTTTTTTTTTTTTTTCAACTATGCTGGAAGCCTCAAAGAGAAAAAAGAAAAAAAATCCAGCTCTATGGACTTCAGCAAGGTTCTGGCTATGAGGAAGTCACGTGGTGTATTAGAAGAAGGCAGGATATTTACAAAATCCTCAACTGCTCTCTGCAGAACAAAGCTGGAGGCCTCCAGACTCTCAGTCAGTAAACCACCAAATAAAAAACCAGCCCAAAATAGATCCAACTAAAGGTACCTTTGACTGTTTCTCCTTCAACCAAATCTTCCTTCCTCTGCCTCCCCTCGGGGTAACCAGGATCATGAGTTCAATGTGTTTTCTTTCAGAGCTTTAAAAAGAAACATACAAACACACACATGCACACACATTAAAAATAATGTTGGCCCGGCATAGTGGCTCACACCTGTAATCCTAGCACTTTGGGAGGCAAGGCGAGAGGATTGCCTGAGCCAAGGGGTTCGAGACCAGACTGGGCGACTTGGCAAGACCTTGTCTCTACACTAAATCAAAAAATTAGCCAGGCATGGTGGCAGACACCTGTGGTTCCAGCTTGGAAAACTGAGGAACACTGAGGCGGAAGGATCGCCTGAGCCCAACAGGTCGAGGCTGCGGTGGCTGTGAGCGTGCCACTGCACTCCAGCCTGGGCAACAGAGTAAGACTTTGACTCAATAATAATAATAATAATATTATTATATGTAGGGTTTGGTTTTTTTTTTTTTTTCATATTTGGTATAATACTCTACATATCCTAAACTTCTTTATTCACTAAATAACATTTTTTGAGACCTATCCATGTGGCTATACATAGATTTAGTTCATTATATATATTTGTTGGTTTGTTTTTTGAGTCGGGGTCTCATTCTGGCTTCGTGCTGAAGTACCATGGCACAATCATGGCTACCATAGCCTTGACTTCCTGGGCTCAGGTGATCCTCCCACCTCAGCCTCCCAAGTAGCTAGGCCTACAGGTGTGCACCACCATGCCTGGCTAACTTTTTTCAAGTCTTATGTAGAGATAAGGTCTTGCTATGTTACCCAGACTGATCTCAAACTCCTACACTCAAGCAATCCTCCCACCTTAGTCTTCCAGAGTGCTGGGATTACAGATGTGAGCCACCATACCCAGCCTTAGTTCATTACTCTTGACTGCTGAATAATATCCTACCATCTGAAGCCCCACCTTTATCTAACCATTCCTCTGTTGCTGGACACTGAATATGTGTCTGTTGGTGATTTGGTGCGTTCTGGCAGCCACTCCATCCTTCCCTTCTCAGAAGTCTGATTGCCCTTTGTTACTCCTCAGTTGTTTCATGTACGTGGGGTACATGAAAGTAAATTTCTAAACCTTCGTGCATCTAATATACATTCTTGAGTGAATGAACTTTGGACTTTGGACTCCCTCAAAGATTAACAGTGGACTCCACAGAAGCTCCACAAATTCTATGTATTCCTCTTTATTTCCTTCCCTTTTTTTAAAAAAAGATAAGTTCTATATTTTCAAAGCAAGTTCTACTAAAATTCATTTCCATTCCCAATCTAGATTTGTGGCAGTCAACACTTCCTTAAGATCATACGGTGAATCCTTAAGATGTCCTAGGCTGACTCACACCTGAAATCCCAGCACTTTGGGAAGTTGAGGCGGGAGGATTGCTAGAGCCCAGCAGTTTGAGACCAGCCTGGGCAACATAGTAAGACCTCGTCGCTACCAAATCAAAAAATTAGCCAGGTGTGGTGGCATGAACCTGGAGTCCTAACTACTTGGGAAGCTGAGGCAGAAGAATTGCCTGGGCCCAGGAGGTCAAGGCTGCAGTGAGCTGTCATTGTGGCACTGCACTCCAGTCATGGCAACAGAGTGAGACCCCAACTTGGAAAAAAAAAAAGATGCTTCAAATTCTGACACTAGAAATACAGTGAAGGTTGTATGTTTTAAAATGTGTGTGTGTGCGTGTATGTGTATATGTGTATGTGTGTGTGAGAGAGAGAGAGAGAGAGAGAGAAAGAAGAAAAAGGAGAAGGAGGAGAAGAACGGAGGAGGGAGGAAGAGAGTGAACAGAGTCAATGCATTATGGTGTGGTCCTGTGGCCCCTGTTGGCCTGGAGGTAAAGCCAAACACAAAGGACTTATTCTCTTTGCAAATGAAACCTGGAACCCATGCACTTTTCTTTCTTTTAAAAAAAAAAATCTCTCATCCTGCCACTTTTATTTTACACTTTTAGGTTGCTGGTGTCAAAATCAGTTTTCATTCCTTTCCCTGGAAACTTTATTCTCTGACAATTTAAACTTCCTGGAAAATAAAAACCCCAAATAAAAAACAAAACAAAACAAAACAAAATGCCGTTTTTAGGGACAAAAAAGAAAGTGTTAGATTTCCACATCACTCACCAGAGATCCTCCAGACCATTCAGGCAGACCCGGGTTATGTCAGGAAGAGCTGATCTGAACCATGAAAACCTTGCTGGAGAAAGTCCACCATTCCACTGCGCGTGAGCAGAAGATGTAGAAGTCTTCTGGAAGCTGCAGAAACAAACAGGTACTTGGGACCTCGCTGTGTCTGTGTTACACAATTTTTTTCAATCTTGTGAAATTATTTGGATTCTTTCCTGGTTCGAGACACCCTCCAACAGTTCTTGGTCTTTTTTTTTTTTTTTTTTTTGAGTTGGAGTCTCACTCCGTCGCCCAGACTGGAGTGCAGTGACCGTTCCCGGCCACCGAAGCCTCGACCTGCTGGGCTCCGGCGATCCTTCCGCCTCAGCCTTCCAAGTAGCTGGAACTACAGACGCGTGCTACCATGCCCGGCTAGTTTTTGATTTATTGTAGAGATGAGGTCTTACCAAGTTGCCCAGGTGGGTCTCGAACCCGCGGGCTCAGGCAATCCACTCACCTCAGCCTCCCAAGGCGCGGGATTACAGGCTGCGCCATCGAGCCTGGCTTGGTCTTTTTTTTAAGTTGAAGTCTCACTCTGTTGCCCAGTCTGGAGTGCAGTGGTACAACCACTGCTCACTGAAGCCTCAAACTCCTGGGTTGAAGCAATCCTCCAACCTCGGCCTCCTGAATAGGCATGTGCCACTATGCCCAGCTAATTTTTTTTAATTGTTTGCAAACACAGGTTCTCACTATGTTGCCCAGACTGGTCTTGAACTCCTAGCCTCCTGAGTCTGCCTCCCAAAGAGCTGGGATGACAAGCATGAGCAACCACACCCAGCAGTTCTTGGCTTTTTTTGAGTATGATCCTTTTGCTCTGGCCAGCAGTCCCCTAAAATACAAACATGCTCATATACACGTAATTCTGTAAAAAATGTCAAGGACTTCAAACATCAGAAACTGAGACAGCCCAGGTCAAGAAGATCTGAACTAAGGTGGGATTGCCAAGAATCCAGATGTTTGCCAAACCAATAAATCTGACAGAGGCTATTAACATTGATAGTAGCTGTTAACTAAAGCCAATCTTCGCAGCTGGGTATTGAAGAGATAACTGCTGATCCTGAGTTGGTCCTTCCAGACACAGTCATACCTATTATGGAGAACAAAACTAGCAATATGTGATATGGTCTGGATATCTGTCGCTTCAAATCTCATGTTGAAATGTGATCCCCAGTGTTGGAGGTGGGGCCCATTAGGAGGTGTTTGGGTCATGGGGGTGGATCCCTCATGAATGGCTTGGTGCCTTCCCAGGGTGACGAGTAACTTCTTGCCCTATTAGTTCCCAAGATATTTGATTGTTTTTTTTTTTTTTCTTTTTTGTATTTTTGAGTTAGAGTCTCCCTCTGACGCCCAGGCTAAAGTGTAGTGGCATGCTCATGGCCAACACAGCCTCGACCTGCTGGACTCAGGTGATCCTTCTGCCTCAGCCTTCCAAGTAGCTGGAACCACAGACATGCACCACAGCACCTGGCTAATTTTTTGATTTATTGTAGAGATGAGGTCTCACCAAGTTGCCCAGGCTGGTCTCAAACCCCTGGACTCAGGCAATCCTCTCGCCTCCACCTGTCAAAGTGCTGGGATTATAGGCATGAGCCACCATACCTGGTTAGATCTGATTGTTAAAAAGAATCTGGCCCCTTTCTCCCCTCTCCTGCCCCCTCTCTTGTCATGTGACCTGTACATGTGGGCTCCCCCACCTTCCACATAAGTGGAAACTTCCTGAAGCCATCACCAGGGCAGATGCTGGTGCCATGCTTCTTGTTCAGCCTACAGAGCCACAAGCCAAATAAACCACTTTTTATCGACTATCCAGCCTCAGGTATTTATTTTAGCACCAAAAATGGGCTTCAATGATATGTCATCAATAGACCATCATCTCTGAATACACTGGATGACTGTGTCTGGAAGGTAAACACTGGACAAGGCACAAGACTGATAAAGGGACTTTTCTCATCAAAATATCTATACTGGTTATAAGTGTATACACTGGCAATAAGTGAATACATGATCTTGCCCATCAGAGTCCTTTATTCCAATTTCTCTCTTTTTTTTTTTTTTGAGTCGGAATCTCACTCTGTCACCTAGGCTGGAGGGCAGTGGCACACTCACAGCCACCACAACCTCAACCTGCTGGGCTCAGACAATCCTTCTGCCTCAACCTTCCAAGTAGCTGGAACTATAGGCACACGCCTCCATGCCTGGCTAATTTTTTGATTTATTGAAGAGACAAGGTCTTGCCAAGTTGCCCAGCCTGATCTCGGACCCTTAGACTCAGACAAACCTCTCTCTCACCTTGGTCTCCCAAAATGCTGGGATTACAGGAGTGAGCCACCACACCCAACTTCACCCAAATTTCTGATCACATCCTTTACATCATTTCTTGCAGTAGCTACTTTGTCCTCAAAGTCATTCTTAGCCCTTCTTCAATTTCAAAGGCTTCTACATAGGTCATCTTCCTTTGATCAACTCTATATCAAACCATTAGCTATTCCAAAAACCATGGAGTCATAAGATGACTGTCACTGTAGTAACTTTTACCGTTACAGAGTGACTGCTATGTGCCCGCTATCCCCGTAGTACTTAAAACATACTAGGAACATGTATTAAATCTGCACAACCACGCTGCTATGGAGAAAGTACTTCCATTTTATTTTTTCAAGATTTTTTTTTTTAAACATAGACAGAATCTTGCTATGTGGCCCAGACTGGTCTCAAACTCCTGACCTCAAACTCCAACCTCAATCTCCCAAAGTGCTGGAATTACAGGCCAGTGCACCTGACCAGTACGTGTTAAAGATAAGAAACCTAAGACTCAGAGAGAAGTCATTTGCTAGAGGTTGCTGAGCAAAGATCTGACAGAACTAGGTTCAATCTTCATTTCATTTTACCGCAAACTCTCCATCTCAGTCCTTATGGCCGGCGCCAAGGAGCCACTTTTCCAGATGGTTTTTAAAATTATAGAATTCTAGCTGGGTACGGTGGCTCATGCCTGTTATCCCAGCACTATGTGAGGTAGAGACGAGAGGAATGCCTGAGCCCAGGGATTAGAGACCAGTCTAGGCAACTTGGAGAGACCTTGTCTCTAATAAATAAAAAAATTAGCCGGGCATGGAGGCGTGTGCCTGTAGCTCCAGCTACTTGGAAGGCTAAGGTGGAAGGATCACCTGAGCCCAGCAGGTCGAGGTTGCGGTGGCCGTGAGCATGCCACTGTACTGTAGCCTGGGAGATAGAGTGAGACTCTGACTCAAAAAGTAAATAAATAAAATAAAGTTCATTTAAATTTAATTAATTAATTAAATTACAGAATTCCCAGTTTATGTGTGCTCTTAGCCTTCTTTGACTCATAGGATATTTGAGCAGAAAAGAATCTTAGAGGTTATCTTGTCCAACTTGCACCCTTCACAAAGAGGACACTGAGACTCAGCTGGGTGGGTCACTACCCCTACTCTGGCCCTCCCTCTTCCGGTTCTGAGGGAACAGAATCATAGCCTCTGGGAAGGCATTACATGGTTCCTCTCTCACAGCACCAAGTGCAGGCACGTGGTGGCCTTCCAAAAGGAGCCGGCACTCAAGTCCAGATCACCTAAGTGACGTACGCAGAGGACAGCCACACTCCCATGGCCTCTGCCTCAAAGGGAGTAGAGGGCTTCAAGGGGTGCCCCTCCCCAGCCCCAGGAGAAGGCAAGGATGCTGCCTGGTCCATGAAGCTAGGACAGCAGTGAAAACATGACATGTAAAATCGCAACAAAGATGGTCCAAGAAACCAACACCTGCACCCTGCAGTCACTTCTAAGTGGTGACATGCAGCCTCATTAAGCCAATGATTTCAAAGTCCTCCATTTTCAATCAGTAGCAGCCAGAATGAGGAGGAAACATACAAATCGGTGCTTGATAGCTTGCCCTTAGTTTGTTTTCAAGCTAGAATAGCAAGCAATTGCCTGTTTCAAGTGTGTTGAAAACGTTCTCAATCAGCTAACTATTATGCCTTGCATTGTCCTTGAAAATGCAAAAATAGAAAAGGAAGAAATTATCTAAAAGCAATAAGCCAAGAAAACAGAGACAAGGCGGGGGTGTGGGCTACTGCTTAAGAGTATTTACTATAAGACAGTAGTGGACAAACCCCATTAAAAATGCAGAGTTAAACATAGTGCATAGGAGAGAGAGATAATGATAGAATCAAAGAATAAAGAAAGTAGCTAGTTAATGGGCATTTTTATTTTCTAAAGAAGGCGGTTTAGGTGGTGAGGGACATTAGTTTTTTCACTTCATTATGTTGTAAGGGAATATTGAAAACAAAGTACATCACATGTAACAAAGACAGGGCACACTGGGTGGGTCAATGACTTGGGCTTGCTTGAATTAGCTTCAATTGATTCACTTAACATCTCCAAGCTTCCTTGGGCTATTTGTAAATAAGCGTGATTAAATACAAGGTGATAGATAAATATTCGATATAAGCGCATATGTAGTTATCTGTATACAGTATTTATACAGATAAATACATATGTATATACATGCATATGTGTGTGTGTTTGTGTGTGTGTGTGTGTGTGTGTGTGTGTGTGTGTGTGTGTTGAGGCCAAATGTGGTGGCTCACACCTGTAATCCCAGCACTTTAGGAGGCTGAGGCAGAAGGATCACTTGAAGCCAGAAGTTCAAGACCAGGATGAGCAACATAGTGAGACCCTGTCTCTACAAAAAAAAAACAAAAACGATTTTTAAACTAGCCAGGCATGGTAGTACATGCCTATAGCCCTATCTACTCAGGAGGCTGAAGTGGGAGGACCGTTTAAGCCTAGGAGTTCGAGGCTGCAGTGTGCTATGACCTCACCACTGCATTCTAGTTTGGGCAAGACAGCAAGATCCTGTCTCTAAGAAAAAAATAAAGAAAATATATTGAAACCCTTTGATACATCCAGGTACTGAGCTTACTGTCCTGCTGAATAAGTTAGTTCACTGAGCTGTCAAAGGATAGATCCTAAGCCCTCTTAGGGTACATGCACTGTTTGCTCAATCTGTAAACACATAATTATTTAACTTGCCTTCTAAAGTAACACCACACCCTGGATATGA